GACCTCCTCCTGCTATCTACAGACGCGGAGAAGGCCTTCGATAGGGTCAACTGGGATTACCTGTTCCAGACCCTTTCGCGTACGGGACTGGGCCCGGGAGTCATGGGGTGGATAACGGCCCTATACACACAACCATCTGCCCAAGTGATAGTTAACGGGGCGTTGTCAGCACCGTTCAACATACTAAACGGCACACGCCAGGGATGCCCACTATCCCCACTGCTTTTCGTTCTAGCTTTAGAACCGTTCTTAGCGGCAATCAGGAACAATCCAGACATAACGGGAGTGATGGCAGGGACGACACACCACAAAGTAGCGGCATACGCGGACGACATGCTCTTTTACATCACAAACCCAGAAGTATCATTACCCAACATCCTGAAAGCCTTTCGGGACTTCGGTATGATATCTAATTTAAAAATAAACCTCTCCAAATCATACATACTAAACATTGATATCCCGGCACGACGGGCGACACCGCTATGCCAACACTATACATTTCAATGGGCCACGCACAAAATAAAATACCTAGGAATCTGGTTAACACGGAAAGCAGGGGACATGTTTAGGGAAAACTTCACCACCATACACACGAAGTTTCGCACGGAAATGCAGGAATGGGCATACCCACACATCTCATGGCTTGGCAGGATACAAGTAGTCAAAATGAATTTTCTCCCCCGCCTCCTGTACCTTTTCCAAACCATCCCCATCACAGTCCCCCGCACATTCTTCGTCACGCTCCGCACTGCCCTCGGACGATACGTCTGGAATGGGAAACGACCAAGACTCAGACATACCATATTAACACTACCGAAGGATAGAGGAGGCCTGGCGTTGCCGGACTTCACTCTCTATTATAGGTCCTGTCACTTCCTCCGGATAATAGAATGGTCCAAACAAGGAGTGCAGAAACAATGGAAACAAGCAGAAGAAGTCGAGGCAGGTGTCCCAGTCGCGGTCCTGCCATGGCTGCCTCCCGGGATCGGGAGCAAGGGGAGGAAATACTCCCCATACATCAAGGCTACTCTGCAAGAGTGGTACCGCACAAAGGATAGACACGAGCTAGCACCGTACCCATCGCCCCTTCTCCCACTCATACACAACCCACACTTTCCACCAGGACTGGACCCAAGGGCTTTCCATGCGCTGATCCAAGACCCAATCCCCAGACTTAGCCACGTCTATACGGCAAATGGCCTCAAGACACTAAGGGACATGAGGGGAGACACAGACGTTAACCTCTTGATACGCCTAAAACACAAACAACTCCAGAGCTACATTGCAACTCTTCCACAGGGGCCCATTTTATCGAGAGCTCCCACATACTTTGAAGACATATGCCTACACCCAGACCCGTTGGCCCACGGAATCTCCCTCATGTACACATCACTTCTGACTCAAACGCCAATAGCACAACCAAGCTTCATGGGGAAATGGGAGGCAGCACTGGGTCGTACGATTAATAAGACAGACTGGGAAAAAATTTGCTATCTCACGCACCATTGCTCTAGCTTCAGCAAGACGCAGGAAACAGCATACAAACTACTGACACACTGGTACTGCACCCCTGCGGCACTACACGAACATATCCCAGAACACCCCCCAGTGTGCTGGAGATGCGGAGAGGGGACGGGCACGCTTCTACACATCTGGTGGGAATGCAACAAAATCACACCGTTCTGGAAAGCCATACACAAAATTATAGGGCTACTCTCAGACGACCCACCCCCATTCGGCCCAGCAGAAATGCTCCTACACCTCACTAAGGTCCCCAGGACCATATATAAGAAATCACTGACGATCCGCATACTAAATGTAGCTAAAACTACCATACCACAATACTGGAAACAGCAGACCGCCCCGCCACTGAAAACTTGGTTCACCCAAATGGAGGAGCTGAGGTCCTTAGAAGAACTCCACGCCACAGCGAATAACACACACCAAACCTACCTCAATACATGGACGCACTGGCTACTGAAGTCGACACAACCAGGCTTCCTGGGCGAGATCCAGGCCCAACAATAAGAGACTGGACTAACGCTACACCAAGCGGCGGACCCCTGACACCGACAGAACCTAGACCCCTATCCCGATACCCCCCCACCACGACAAACACATCCAGACCACCTTAACACACGAATAAAAGGTACCCCAGATTTGGCAGGGATCGCCTAATACTGCATGGATCAGGGCGACTTGGAGACCACACATAGTGGACACCCGCCATGTAGGCAGACGGTTCATGACCATAGTAAAGCAGGGGAGAGGACGGACAATTATCATGGAACGCATGGGGACGGGGAGACATCACATCTAAGTTTAGGTCTTCAACTAACAGTTCAAGCTGGGAGACTGACGAACTGAGTATATCATGAGTTGTCTGTCCCTCAACTGCTTGCTCCAAACAGTGTATGATATACCAACGCAAGAGGGACCTGCGAGTCCACATTGTTGATGGGGCCTGCGAGCCCGCACTGCTACCCAACCATACAAAGTAGCTGATGTACTCTATGCCCTCACTAAACATGGACCTGCGAGTCCAAATGAAGTAGGGCAGCCTTGATTTGAATTTGAAAATGAAAATAAAAATCATATTTACAAAAAAAAAAAAACATTTAGAGCAGGCTTCCCCAAACTCTGGCCCTTTCAGACATTGCTGAACTACAACAACTCCCATGATTCTATGAATGAAATAGATAGGCTGAGAATCACGTGCGTTGTAGTTCAGCAACACCTGGGGGGCTGGAGTTTGGGGAAGCCTGATCTAGTGCTTAGTCAAGATTCCTCCAGACACTACAAGACAAAAAAAAAAGAGTACCCTGAGAAAAGATTGATCAATATACATGCTAACAATATCCAGCAACATTATACAAGTTAATTATGGAGGAGAAAGACCAGGTTAGTGCAGACCAGGCTACTCAAACTGACTCCCCAGATGTTTCTGGACTACAACTTGATGGATTCTCCAGCCATCCATTGCATTTAAACAATTCTGGAAGTTGCATACCATTAATATTTAGAAGCACATAGTTTGAGATCCCTGGTGTAGACATATTATAATAAAAAAAACAAAAACAAAAACTTATTAAAATGTTTTTTTCAATTATTCATTTTATATCATTTAGGTAAAGCTTTGGGACTGTGAGAAAGGAAAATGCATCAAAGTCTTAAAGGTAAGAAAATTTAGAAATTATGCGGTTAACCTAAAAAAAATTACACTGAATTATTTGCTAAACCAGGAGCTGTAGGGGAGTTGACAAGCGAATTTCACATTTTAGGCTAAAGTGCCAAAGGGTTCCAAATTGGTTATTTTCACCAGAAATGTACCTGAACAATTCCAGGCTTCATAATAGCATTTACATAAATTTCTGGCATGTAAATTTAATTCAATAACACTATAATTGACACAGCAGTAACATCACTGCTCAAGCCAAAATGATGTCAAACAGTTGTCAGCTTATTATTGGTATACAGATTTGATCTATTGTATTATTTTATTACTTATATAGCACCATCAGATTTTGTAGCACTGTACAATTGTACTGGAAAAAGCCCCAGTGTGTAACCAGCAGGAGAAACCAGCTCCCAACCAATCATCAACACTCAGGCTGGATGAATGTGACGATAATGTGAACTCCAGTGAAGTGGTCATAGTGCTTGGAGTAATCCTTTACCTGTTATAGATAACAATGGCTTCTTAAAGTAGAAATTGAGCCCATGTTTTTCTGGCCACTAAATTCAAATAGAAACTGATTTACCTGCAAAATTCTGAAGTATATAACCATGAAGTTTAAAAGTCCTGTTAACCGTATTTTTCTTTCCTTTAGAGAATGATTGACATGGTACACACATGCTCATTTTCACCAAGTGGAACTCTCATCTTAGCTGGATCTGCAGGACTTTACCAAACTTAAAATGAATATATAAAAAGTCAGCTGCTTTATTAACACATGGAAAGGACAGTCCCAGCCACTTCATGGATTAGGACACCATATTACATAGTTACATAGTTATCTTATATCTTAATACAATAAAGATAGTTTCTGCTGTCATGTTACATTGTTGAATCAGGAGCTATTTGCACTTTTCCTTAAAATATTTATATAGTATTTTTGAAATTGAGTGTGTGCCATTGTTATGATTTCTGTTTTTGCATGTGTGAAGAGTACCTGAAATCAAACCTTTGAATAGAATTTAAATGTGGGGGGAGAGACAAACCACAACAACTTGGGATCATCTGCTTGGACAGAGCTTGTAGATTGCTTCACATGCAGAACTGCATAAAAGAAAGACTTAGCGTTGTCAATAGCATAGCTGTGTGCATACCTCTGATAAGGAAGTATTTTAGTGGAGTGAAGGGGGGTGGCTAAAGAGGCAGACTTCTGGTGCATCATACTGCACCATATGTAAATCTATATTTACATAATGAGGCCAATACATATCTAATGCATTTCAATTGTATTGGTACCTAGAGTATCCCTTTCAATACAAATTCAATAGCATTGAAATAATTACTCTCAAGCATACAGGAATAAGCAAACATTGTAATGTCAATAAAATCCAAAGTTTTGTAAGAAGCAAGTCTCTTTGGAAATAAATGTGTTTAGACTTTAGCTGGGAGCAAGCGATATACCAATTGACAAAATAATGTCTTTATATGCTGGGAACAATTTTCCCTGTTCAGACTAGTTATTTTATATACAGGAGAAAAGCCCACAGACCAAAATCTCTTATGTATGTTTTTTTTATGTGTTAAGTACCCTGATAAAGCATTAAAATTTATCAACGCAACACATGGTGTTACCCTTTTCCTGCACTCCTTAGCTCATTGATCTGGCCTGCTTGTGGACACTTCCCCACACAGGACAAACCTCAAGGACGCCGAACAAATCAGTGTGCCGGTGTCTGAACAGAGTGACGTCATGTCACTCCATAGCCAGTGCCAGCTAGGGGGTTGCAAACACAATCACAACACGTGGGCTGGAAGTTGTTTTAGATATAACAGTTACTCTTTAAAACACTCTCAAAGCACACACCAACACAGAGGGAATAGACCAAAAAATTTTTAATCAGAGCATGAGTGACTTATGCCTTAACTGCAAATTTGCGCACTGCGTAAAGACGGTCTTTTCTTTGCTGTTTTCTTGTCCGTAGGGATTCTTCGTGCTTGTTCAGCCTACGTCTGAGAGCCCTAGTCTTCTTTGGCCTCAAATCCAAAGGCTTGTACTTCTTTCCCTGTTATAATGTGAAAGGGAAAATACAATTTGTAAAACTATTGCTCAAAACCAGTGTTGGATGCACCAGGTTACCTGCAAGGCCTACAAAGATTACCTAAATAAACAGTTCATCCCTGCTATAATCATAAAACAAAGTGCACCTATAAGGTGCGGATGGATTTCTTAATCAACTATCTGCTGTCACCTCATGCTACCCTATTTGTGATGAGCTCTGAGCAAGTGGTAGCCAACTCTGCTCAGTGCTCCCATAGGCACTAGTATTCTAACCATTTAACATCAACATATTTGTGAATAGAAGGTTTCGTAAATACACTATGAACAGATATGGCTAGCCATTGCACTTACTGCATATCATGTGTGTGACTAAAGGAAATTGTATGAGTAAATGGGAAAGAGAAATTAAGTTACACTTATTAATGCTGTATCAGAATATGAAACAAGTGTATAGAAGGCTACAATAACACAAAGTTACAGTGGAAGCAAAATCTGCCATCTAAAAACAGCAGCTCAACTTTCAATGGCAGCACATTCTACAAAGAACATATTTAACTTGAATCTTGGCTAAAAGATCATTTAAAATATTCTAAATACCAGATGTTATTTCTCCCCATCCTTACGTCAAAGGATTCTCACAAATACAAAAAGGTAGTGAGGTAAAACTATATATGCATCCATGTTTTCTCAACATAATACACTCCACACTATAACAACCCCAGATTAAAGTATAGGAATTTGAAATCTCTAACTCCTTGCTTGAGTGAAGTATACAGACAACAGTTACACACCACTATGCACAGCAAGAGACCTTTTTATGTGCAAGGTAAAGTAATTGGATCTAAAAATTGACCATCTGTAATATACCAGACTACAACTGCTGAGAAACGGTGTGTGTGCGCACGAGAAAAAGCATGGATCTGCAAATATAACAGACTTAAGATTCAAGTGGAACAAGAATTTTAAATATTTCTTCTATTAAACAAAGTCAAGGGGAAAATCGTTTTAACTTTAATGTGCTTCTCATTACAGCCATCTAAGGTGGAATTAAGTCTGCATTTGGCTAAAGCACAAATTTAATCATGAAATAACAGACAACCCATTGTGAAAATGAACATTTTATGATCTGGTAGAGATCAGATTACTATGACCACTGCACTTTGTATAGAAGTGTCAACATACAGATCAAGATGTCAAAAACAATTCTATATAAAAAAGGTTAAATTTATGCAGGTTCTTTGACTTTTACATAAACACACAGTGCGATTCTTAAGTAAATTCCACTGTCTGGTTTATTTTGGAGCTTTGTTTTAATCTCTAAATTTTCATATCAATTAAAATACTAGCTTCCACAACAAGTCTAGCCAAGAAAATTGGTATTACATGGAAAACAGACTTGTACAAAATTCTTCAACTTTCCTAAAATAAAAAAATTAAAATGGGCTAATCGTAAAGTACACTAAATGTTGTAATTGGGCAAATTTTACACTGCAACTGGAAATTTTTTTTTTTTTTTTTATAAAAAGATTCTAGATTTGTAGATGTCAATATAAGGCAGAAAAAGTGAGGTGGTGATTAAGCAGAGTTCAGACACAGATGCATATGTGCAACAAGCAACTAGCACTGGCTTACCTTGTAAAACTTCCTCAGATTTTCCTTTTGTGTCTGGTTGATCACAGTCAGGACTCTAGCAATGGATTTGCGGACAACACGGCTGAAAGAAAAAAAAACAAAAAAACAAAAGATCAGAAATTTATCACCATAAAAAGTGTTGGAGAACTGTAAAACGGGTAAATCATGTTCCTCCAAGCCGGTTATATGGCATTAATGCATAAGAGCCAAATCAGAGAAGATTTCTGAACCTATTAACCAGAAATGGGTTGCGAGAATGCATGCACAATTCAATCTAAATAAATGTCAGCATTCCTTTATTTCCAATTACAAGTAACTCATTACAAAAGACAGTGACACTATCAAAATTCTGGCAATTTAATTCTCAAGTACAAAGTATAGAATTTGCATTCACACCCAACGCGCGCACAAATGTTTTGTGGATGTCAAAATCCCTTCAAACGTTAGTATAGAACAGACACCTTTCCAAGTCCAAGGTAATACTTCCAAACTTACAAAAATAATGCAATATTAAAAAACTGATTTGATGAGAATAATTTCCATTATCTACTCATATGCACAATGCTCGTTAAAATAGAAAATAAAGTGATATGGTGAATGTTTATGGGAAAGTATAAATGTAATTTCCAGGCTCTGTCTAACTGAGTGGGAGACAAGATGATGCAGCAATCGTTTTTGGATTGTTAGCAAAAAACTGAAGGTTTCGCACTAGGATTCATCAGATACAGAATGTCCTTTTATGGAGTTACTCCAAGCGCCATCTCCACTTCAATGATTTGAAGTGGTTGTGGTTCTTTGAGCTTGTATGTGCAGAATTTTTCTATGAGTTTCGGCTGCTGGAGATGTAACTCTGGAATAAGAGCTCTACGCAGCTAATGTCATTTCTGTGAAAATGTTCATGCAGTGTTCTGATCATTGGGTGAGAGTTGTCAGCTGATGCTCTCAGCAGCATTTCAGAAGCTGGAAGCATGTCACCAGAGACTCGAAGCCCAGCAGGGACCCAGGTAAGAGGGCAAACTATTCCTAAATGGTTTTCCCCATTAAGGGGGAACTGGACAAAGGTTCTTTTGGAATCAACCACTACAGCAGAAGAGAGACTTCACAAATGTTACTTTGGACACAAGTTTGTTAAGGTTTAAAAGCAACATGAGCACTAGAGCCCCTTTGAACCAAATACTCACATCTTTGACAGCTTGGATGCAGCACCTCCAGTCACCTTGGCTACTCTGAGCTGGGAAAGTTCAACTTTTAAGTCATCCAGCTGTTTCAGCAGCTCCTCCTTTTTCTTACCGCGCAGGTCTCGGGCCTTGATTTTTGCCTGAAACAATAAGTTTCAATCAGTATAGGATCCAGTTATATAAAGTGGAAAAAACAAGCAGCACTCATTTTGAAAGCCAAGAAAGCAACAGCTTAAGTTCTACAGACTACTTATAAATCTAAGATCTTATGCTTGGTTTAGTGCAGGGCAGTCAACCTTTGGCACTCCAAGTGTTGTGGACCACATCTCCCATAATTCTCTTACAGCCATAATACTAGCAAAGTATCAAGGGATATGTAGCCCACTACATCCTGAGTGCTGAAGGCTGCAGACCTCGGTTTAGTGAATAACTGATACTTTATGTAAGACTATGGGGAATCTGAAACAAACTATTGTTACAAATATAAGCTATCATCTCTTCTCCCCCCTTAAAGCTCAATCTTTATCAGTAAACAGGCCTTGAATCTACACAAAGTCACTGCTTTATTCTGTTTTATTGAAGCAGACCTCATTTTTTCATAATATGCAAGGAGACATGTATTAATTTAGCTTTTTGTCCTTTACATACAATTTCCTTCCACAAAATGTACTTTCACCGTTGTTGAGACTGAGGAGGAGGAAATGCTTTTTACACATTATCTGTCATCCCAACCTTCAAGCACAAGCATCCACAATGTAAAAAATTACATACAAGACAACAAGGATAATACAAATGTGTGAACACAATCAACAAAAATACTTCTTATAGAGCAGGTACAAAAAGTATGTTCTATAAGAAGTATTTTCTTACTGTGTTTACACACTACAGTATTAAACTATCCTTGTTGCTTTGCGTGTCTTTTATCCAAGGTGCAGGGGAAACACTTAGACATCATCATACACACTATATACGTGTAGGAAGCGACAACACATTTGTATTATTTACAATGTAAAGCTCTCTCTGACACTGGCTATTCAGCCCAGGTCAGACTTACTGACTGGCTGCACTGCGCCCATGTGAGCGCTGCTATGGGATACAATGTAACATGTGGCAGGGGAGCCATCTCAGGCCGCCATGGCCCGGCTTATACAGAGGCCTCAGACGGGTAAGGAGGGGGCGAGCGAAACATTTCCTCTATCCACCAATATAACTGCACGCAAATCACAAATAACGGGCACAGCGTGTCCCCCATACTCTCTGGCCCTCAGCAGAGGTGGAAACGTGGCGTGTATTAGCAAGATTAGTTAGGATGGCGATAGATTGCATGGGAGAGGCAAGCTTTACTCACCATTGTCACCGCTGGCTGCTAGAGGAAAGGGAGGGGTCAGCCGTCTACTGAGCTCTTCCGGGTAACGGCCGCTACCAAGGGAAGAAAATAGAGGGGGAATAGGGGCAGTGTTCTGTTAACCTGCTGCTGACGTGGTACAGTCCGAGAGCTGGTTTATAAAGGAACCTGGTTCTCAGTATTGAGTTGGGAATAAAATATTGTTTCTTTTGCAAGTATTTATGTTGGGCTGAGCACTGTGTAATCATTTTAAAAGACAAGAAGGCAACAAAGAGCATCATATGACTAAATAATGGACACATATGTCTGAAATTAAACATTCAAATTATTAAGGATATATATTATATATAAATATTAAATGAGGCCGCACATGGATGAGTAGAATACCTGCATGCACACCTCACGCTTAGCTCACTAATTCACAGCCCGACATGCAGTTTATATGCGGGACATTATAGTTTATATCCCTTAATCACATGTTCCTGGTATCAACAGTTCCTACTCCGCAGGCCTTACTCCCTCGTATATCACTAACCCTTAACTTTTATTTTACTATAAATATGCTCCTTTTCCGAATTTATTTTGAAATCTCCAATCACTCAGTCACCACAACTTGGCTATATGTGTGTCTTCTAGGTGGATATACGCTTGCAACCCTCACGGGTCTGCCTTTAATCTCCTTACACTCCTATCACACCGCATATGGCGGCTATAACAACTGGGCAGACACCTAAAGTTTAGCGCTAACAACCATATACTTACATATGAAACGTGTCTACCAGTCATGTATACCTTGCATGCTACCGGTGATAGTCATGTTATAGACGCATTTAACTAAGCATACTATAAAACTAAAGAAAATGTGCGGCTTATCTGAATGCCATAATATTGTTATTATACAGCATGTTTTCTCTATGTTTGTGGTAGCTGTTGTGGCTTACTAAGCATGGTATTATTTTTTTCGCACAATATAAATAAAGATTGACAATAAAATATATATATATCCCCCACCACTGACGGCAGCAGAAAAATTTGTCTGAAAAAAGGCACATTCTTTCTTTATATTCTGAAAGTGACACATTTGTTAACAGAAAAAAATTATCAATATGGAACAGGAAAATAATTTGGCCCAGTATTTTATTTTGTCATATACCTTAAAGGACCACTAAAGTCACCCATACCACTTTATTTCAGTGAAATAGTTTGAGTGCAATGGTCCTGTCAATTTAAGCATTTAAAGTACAATATTGCCTTTTTGCAGAGAAGGCTGTGTTTACCTCGAAACAGGGGGAAGGGAGAAGTTCCCTTCCACCGCTCTCCAACCCTCTCTCCCCTCCTCCCCCCTTCCTCTTCCCCTGGTGGTGCGAGGCTTCTGGGGTGTTGTCCGTGGAGGTTTTTTGGCTACTTCATTCCGCATTGGTATTACACTTAGGGGTTCTCACTTAGACATCAAGTGCCCCTTTTTTCAGCATGCAGCACAGAGGAGGAGGATTCCGCTCCCACTTTACCCTGGCAATGGGTCAGACCAGGGACCATTTTTAATGCATGTACTTTTGTTATGGTTTCTGTTCTATGTTTTGGTTTTTCTGTTCCCCTTGTTCCCCTTCCCTTCCTCCCCCCCCATAGTGAGCATAGACGCCAGGGGATTGAGTAAATCCATCTCCCCAGGTGACACTGAAATGTATGGCCTAGGTATAACTGAGTACTTGTCCCACTCGAATGGTTCTTAGGGTGGTATCACTGACTGTAAATGGCCTAAACTCTCCCAAGAAGCGGCACTTATTGTCTAAAGAATTAAAACATATGAAGGCAGACATAGCTTTTCTCCAGGAGACTCACCTCACCAAGATGTCCCAGATTTTTTTAAGGGATAGGAATTATGACAGGTCCTACACCTCTAGATCTTTCCGCAAACACAATGTGGTAGAAATTCTGGTACATAAGAACTGTAATTTACAGGTGACGGGATCCATCTTAGACGGGGAGTGTAGATACTTGTGCCTTCCTGGCACTTTAGGGACCCGAACGATTCATTTTGTAAATATATATGCCCCCAATGTAGCATATCAACTATTTTGGGGGGAGCCGTAAAATGGTCCCGGTGGTCCAGGAGACGGACATTCGATCCGTCTCCTGGTCAGACCATGCAGATATTCACCTCTCTTTGAGGGAATTTTTGACTCCGACGCGATGGACCTGGTGATTAAATAATTTGCTTCTAAAGGATAGGGAGGTGGTAGCAAAATTAACGGCTGCTTTAGAAGAGTACTTTCTCTTGAATGACACCCCAGAGATGCCCCCGGCTACGGTTTGGTTGGCCCATAAGGCGGTCATCCGGGGTCTTTTAATTACGATAGCTACCCACAACAGTAGACTTAAAACTAAAAAGATTGGCGACCTCCAGGAAGTGCTAAGACGCACTGAGGAATGGCATCAGTCCTCGCTGGACCCGCAGTCAATGGAGATCCTGCTGGGCATTCGGACTGATCTGAAACGGGCTCTCTTGGATGGAGTGGCTCCAGATATGACATGGTCCAGCAGGTTCTACTTTGAGAATACCAACCGCATGGATACCTTTTTGGCGAGGACATTGCGGCCGTGGACTTGCTCAAACCATTTCTGGCCAAAAAGCTCCAGGCCCAGACAGTCTCTCTGGAGCGTATTACAAAACATTTAGTGAAGTATTGGCGCTGTGGTTGGTTTAATGTTTAATGCAGAGAGAGACGGGGAGTCGTTGTCCCAGGAAATGATGCTGGCGAATATAGTGTTGCTCCTGAAGGAAGGGAGGAACACCCTGGAAGTGGGAAACTACAGACCAATTTCACTGATAAATGCTGATGCTAAGATCTTAGCGAAAGTGCTAGCCACCAGGCTGAAGCCCATGATGCAGAGGTAGATCCGCCCGGACCTGGTCGGCTTCATACCTGTACGCCAACTCTACGAAAACATAAGACGGGTGGTGGACCTGGTGTGGCACATAGACTGGACTCGAATGCCTTCTCTGCTCTTGTCCCTGGACATGGAGAAGGCATTTGACAGGGTGGAGTGGAGTGGCCGTATTTATTTTCTCTTTTAAGGCACTGGGAGGTCCTTGTCCCTTTCATGAGCGCAGTGGGGGTCCTATATAGGGACCTGATGGTGAGAGTGGTGGTGCTGGGGGGTAGTGGCAGCACCTTTCCCATTTGCAACAGCACTAGACGGGTACCCCGTCTCCCCTGTTATTTGCCATTGCATTGGAGCCTTTTCTGCAGTGCCTGAGGGAAGCCCCACAAGTAAGGGGGGTGTGGGTCAGGGGGACTAATACAAAGTGGCGGCCTATGCCGACGATGTTATACTAATGATATCGGACCCTTTTGTGGCTTTGTCCTCTCTGCTCGAACTGATCGAGGAATACAGCCAAATATCTGGTTATAAAGTCAATTTAACAAAATCTAGCGCTATGCCGATGCACCTGTCGGCCACTGAAGACAAGACAGCCAGAACCACAATGCAACTCCGATTGACTGACTCAGTAAAGTATTTGGGCATCGTGGTTGCCAAGAGTAGCCGGGTACTTTACAAGGTAAACTATCAGCCCCTGTTTCACAACATAAGAGGGACCTGGAGGCTTGGGGGTCCAAACCAATCACATTGGTTAAAGATGAATATTCTCCCACGGCTCCTTTTTCTACTTCAGGCACTACCAATACCGTTGCTTAAGACAGATTTAGAGGCGCTTCAGAAACACATTGATTCCTTTATATGGGACAATAAACAACACAGACCTGCTAGGAATATGCTTTACAGGCCTAAAACGGGAGGAGGACTGGGATTGCTAAATCTCCTTCAGTATTATTATGCAGCCCAACTGGCACAGATGGTGATGTGGCATGTGGCCCCAGGGGAGAGATGCTGGGGAAACCTTGAATCACATATCATGGGTTCAGATCTACCAATGTTTTACATGTGGCACTGCTGCGAACTCAGTGCCCTGGAATTGTCACTTCCCTGTCAATATGGGACAAGATCAGGCATAAATATGGCCTCCAACCCCTCCCCCCTGACCCCGGTTTTACATAATAGATACTTTCCCCTGGGCATGACCCCCCTCATATGTGGTATAACATACCCTCATATGTGGTGGTTTTGCCCCCCTCTGACACAGTTCCTGGGGGGGATATCAGAGCATTGCTTAGGCAGGTCTTTCAAAAACCGTTCGAGCTAGACCCCTGGCTTTTCTTAGTTGCCAAACCCTTGGAGGGTATGTCCTAAAGGGAACATAAATTATGGAACAGAATAACTCTGGCAGCGAAAGGAATCATTGCAGCACACTGGTTACAGCCCTACCTGCCACCGATAAGGGAGGTCAGGGCAAAGGTAGAAGAAAATCATCTCATGGACCAATTAACGGCAACCGTACTTAACACCCTCCCCTTGTTCTATAAAATATGGGAACCCTGGCACAAGTATATGGATAAACTTTAAATAGCCACTTCTATAAAAGGTAGAATCATCTGGGATTCCTGGGGGGGGCCCTACAACCCACTGAGAACCAATATACTTAGGGACTTAGACACAGGAGATGTCCTGGGTTCTGAGAGATCTTGAGAGAAGTAGAGACAGGGGACTGGGGGAGGTGGGAGCTGGGAAGGAATTTGCCCCCTAACCCAGTAAACAGAATCCTGAACCCTACCCCCAGCAAGCCCGAAAACGATGGGAAAGGAAAGCACTCTAGAAGTGATATTTACTCCCAGACACTCAGAACGGAGACCCTAACTTTGGCGGATAGCTTTCACATAGGATACATCACTAGTATCCCTCGACTTCCCACTCTCTCCCTACCCTATCCCCCCCTCCCTTTTTGTTATATCTACATGTGTACTTTTTCTTGCTCATTGGTTGGGCCAGTACCTGTAGTTCCATCAGTTGCATAAATAAAAATAAGTCTCTTATTATATGTGCATACTCGTTATCAGCAAGTGGGTAGGGCAGGGCTGGTTATATGGTTACAACCAATGTTACATTATTTTCGTATATATTTATAAAAACCTTGTCATCAGATATACCACTGTTACTATCGCTGGTCAGAAACTATGATGTGATATCACGATTACACATGGGCTACCATACCTTACCCTGTGTTGGAAAGTTGATGTTATGGCCTTGTATGATATATGTATCTTATGTATTGAATTGTATATAATGGCAATTTAAAATAAAGAATTAAACAAAAAAAAGAAAGAAAACAATGTATTGTGGTAATTTACTAATTCCTGTATACCAAAATAACCATCCTTCTTTTCATACTACCTAGACAGTTATATTGTAGTGCAAAATTACCCTGTACATTTACCATGTCTGTTTGTCTTTTTGAAACACCAATAAACAGCATAAAAAGTGATGTAACTTCTATATGGCAGAAAATTGAGCAGTTAGATACCAGGGGAATGCTTTTTACACCAAAAATTACTCCATTAAGTTAAAGTTCTTTGGGTGCATATAGTGTCCCTTTAACTAATATATATATTTGTGAGAACTAAGTTAAAAAGTTACTTGGGTTGCATGCAATATGGAATGCCCTGTTTGGCATTGTGCATTAGGTTCCCCAATAAAATGCTCCTCTTCTAGCCCCATTTCGATGTCACAGGCTCCCTCGCACAGTCCTATCACATGCTTCTCAAAGAAAAGCATTTGATTGGCATACGCACTCTTGGACCCAGTGAGCAGAGGGAATTTCAAAATCTTAAAACCTCAAGGGAAGTATTTAGAACAAGGTATTGCCTACAAAAGTAACAAAAAAAGGAAACAAAATTATTTTATTGATAATAATAAAATATACTGGGACTTTTTTAGTCATTCTAACAGAACAAAATATTTAAAACACCCTTTAAATAGCAGAGAGGACAGAAAAAGGGTGTTTATCTACAAAGTGTAGCTCACTCAGGTCAGTACGACAGTATCATATTGTGGATATTTTAAATAAATAAAAACCCCATTTAATTTAGCTATCCAGCCTGTTATGTAAAGGTAAGTTACTAAATAGGTAACTCTATTTCCAGAGATACTTAATTGTAACTAATCTCCAGTAGAGAAAAATATCTATTGAACTCAGTGGGTATCATTTCATAAACTCAGAGCACTAGATATTCTGTATATGTTTTCTATTTCATCAAAGTAACCAAAGCTACACACGCTGGACATAATGTTGCAAAGTAACAAACAGGGCAGCAAATGAATCAAAGGGGACAAGGTTAATATGCTTTGACTGATAATGTGGCATATTTGACTGCCTGCAGATAGATCTGCTATTTAAAGGGACACTCCAGGCAGCTAAACAAGTTAAAGGGACACTATAGTTACCAGAACAATTACAGCTTGATGTAGTTGTTCTGGTGAGTATGATCATTCCCTGCAGGCATTTTCATGCAAACACTGCCTTTTTCGA